ACCCCCCCCCCCCCCCCCCCACACACACACAAAGTTTAATAAGTGAGCCAGGAAATTGTAGAAGTTAATGTGTGAAGCAGGAAGAAACATGTTAAATCTTCCAGATTAGCAAATAAATCACAGTAACTCCTCCAGGTAGCATGAAGAAAATGTGGGCTGGCTTTCATCCTCACATTTGCTTAAACCAAAGGTGGGCAAAAGGGCCTCCATGGGCCGGATTTCCGGCTTGCCACGTAGGATGACCCAGCCTGCGGAGGCCCCACCCCCAGGCCAATTAGGATCTGGGGGCAGGGGAAAGCACGCAAAGTTAACGCTGTCCTACCTCCGCCCGTCAAGGAGTGCACGGCACTTAGAAGTGCCCCTGGCAGGGCGGGAGGAGGCTTCGCACACTACCCTGCCCCCAGGACAATCAGGGCAGAGGAAACTTCTTGCGCTACCCCCGCCCCTAGGCCCTAATTGGCTTAGAAGTGGGGGAGCATGGAAAATCTCCTCCCACCGACGAAGGACATGGGTGTCTAGGGAACACCTGGGAGGCGGGGGGCAAAGGGGCTCCCCCACCCGCAGACCAATCATGGCACCCGAAGTATCTTGGCCCCGCCCCTTCTGTTTGAGACCCCACTGCTTCCAGTGCATCCCGGAACCACTTCAAAAATTTCTGAAGTGGCCCCCAGCAAAAAATTATTGCCCATCCCTGGCATAAACACATACATTTAAATAGCATTCCATCAAATCATCAAGTATCCTTCATGCTCATCTGATGAATTACTGTGTATTGTTAAATTCTGTTGCCTCCACCAAAATTCACACTGTAGGCAAGGAAAGAACAGCTATTTTATCTATTATCAGCATGACTAGATAAGGAAAACTAGTCATGTTATGAAATGTTCTAATTCAGGATAATAACTGTATTACTTAACTCTGTAAACCACTTTGGGACACCATTGGAATAAATTGCCAAGGGAGGTGGTGGAATCTCCCTCTCTGGAGATATTTAAGAACAGGTTAGATAGACATCTGTCAGGGATGGTGTAGACGGAGCTTGGTCCTGCCTTGAGGGCGGGGGGCTGGACTCGATGACCTCTTGAGGTCCCTTCCAGTCCTATTATTCTATGATTCTATGATTTTCTAGAAAACAAGAATGCTTTATGGTAGAAAATATAACTCACCTGTTTTTTATTAAGGAAACTCCATTTTAATCTTCTAGTTTGGTAAACAGCAAAAAATGCAACACACGTTAATACAAGAGAAATAACAAAAGAAGCAAAGAATCCTGAAGCATGGATGCCATGTCTGTACAAAACCTGAAATTGAAAGAATGTAACAGGTAAGCCATATTTCTCCCCAGAGTGCACAAAAATCAGTCATGAGCTACAGTGGTAAATGATACAGTAAATTACTTCTAACTATCTTCACGAGAGCACAGAAATACTAACTGGTAAGACATCATTATAATAATTCTATTTTCAAAAATTGTTTATTTTTTCATAAATGTATAGGCCAGAAGGGATCATTATGATTATCTAATCTCACCAATTGCCTAACACAAGCTACAGAACCTCTCCTAAGTTAAATAATGGTTAATGCAACTTCTGAATGATCAAATACTTACTGGCTGATTTTAAGGGGTATTAAATATTCACCGTTCCTGTGAAAGTTAATGGTAGCTGGGAATGTTCAACAACTTTTAAAATCAGTCTGAAACTGAACACTTGAAATTAGAAGCCAATTTTAAAAATCTGTTCCTAAGCAGAATAATCAATGAAGTAAAAAGATTTTAATCAGAGTATGTTTGTCATGGATGCAATGCTACTCAACTTGCTCATATGTTCAAAGCAGTAACTGTATGCACCAGAGACAGGAATGGAATCCAGCAGTCAAGAACCACAAGCCAAACTTCCTTCCTTTTTAAATATATTCTTCAATTGCATCCTTAGAGTTACGTTTTAATTAACCTCTTTAGATTCACTTTATGTTTCTATAAAATGGGCATAACGACTTACATGAGAATAGCAACACGCAACTCAACTCCGAGATCTCTGGATGAGAGGTAACATATATCCATTATTATAATGCTTCATTGCATAGGAATTGCATTTGTCATGGCAGCAATCTCTAAATAAGTACCTTTAAAATTGTGCATTCAATTTCTTAACATGCCACCTGTAAGCATGGTGCAGTTAGTGTGAAAGCCATGAAGTCAATGGCAACTGTATGTGTATGAGAAGCATTTATGAAATCTGACATTTGTTTTCAAATACTTATGTCAGTCTAACCAAGCACAATTCAGTACCTTACCTTCAGTTTTAGGCACAAATCCTGCAAGCCTAACTCTTCTGCATAGACATGTTAACTTACAGGATTTGGCCCTGTAAACTTTAAAGAGATTCTCTCATCTGTGGAGCTAAAGAATTAACAAGAACAAACGTGTTCTTATGAGAGTATAAGAAAGCGCACATTTTCATGTTGTAATATTTCTGGGCTATGGTCCAGTCCACGAAAGAAAGAATCAACCCCCAAACCGAAAATAGTCTCCCTTAGTTCAGATTTAGTAGCTTCTCTTTATTTAGAAGATACTTAAACCATTAACGTAGACCATTCATTCAGAGGTGTAGCGAGAGTGTTATGCGCCCCGAGGCAAAGGAAAAATTAGCGCCCTCCCCCCCACCGAGCGGCAGAGCCCTGAACCTACCGCACAGTTGAGCCTGACCCTGGTAGGGAGGAGGGAGCTTGTACCACATTTTCTCCTGCCCCCTCCAGTTTGGAGCCTTTGCACACAGTAACCCGCTGGTAGAGGTGGAGCAGTGTTGGGCTGGGGGGCAGAGAGGAGGCTCCAGCCAGCGGGGCAGACAGAAGAGGAGCAGGCGAGGGATGACAGAGGGAGCGGAGGAGGACTAAATTGGCACACCCTAGCATGGCACCCGGGGTCAACTGGCCCCCCAACCTCCGCTCGTTACGCCACTGCATTAATTTGCGATCCTGTGAGATTTTGAAAATAGGTCCTAAGGCTCAATTGGCAGTATTATATTTGAAAAGCTCTTTACTGACAATTAATCTAAATGACAAAAGTGTGTATTATTTTCAATCAGACTTATTCTACAATAATGAAACATGTAGAGTGCCTGGAGCACTTAAATGAATTACTACAAAATTAATTAAATGGTTATGTGAATAATTTTATTAAGTATTGAATCATTTTATATGTCCATTAATGCCTGAAACTACTAAATGAAAAAAGGACCAATCATTTATCCTCTTCACAAATAAATTACTAACGTCTTAATATATAGAAGTTTTTTTTCCTCATTTTAAATGTCCTCTGTTCTGAATTCAGCCAATTATTACCAGTTACATCCCTTTGTACTATCTTCTGCTTCTAAGTATGTCTAGAAAGTTCAGGCTGACATGAATATCGCTCTTATCCCCTCCTGTTATTAGCCCTACTCCAACCTCCGAATTAATATTTTAGTTCAGTTAAAGTTGCATATCCTAGCACTGAAATATCAAACTCATATTCATTTATAACATTATTTAAATTCATACCAAACATTAAGAACTGATACGCTGTTGCTACAAATAGCAGTGAAAAACAGAATTTGATGGAATCTCTTGTTATGATTAAATGAAGTTAATTCAACTTCCCTTTATACAAATGAGCAGTTCAGCTTTGAGCAAAATACTGTAAACTTTAATGACAGGCTTTATCTCATAGGCAGCCCAGTTAAGGGAAGAAAGGGATGTTAAAATGCATTTATTTTGTTAAACGTGAAACCACTGAAATTTTTAGCAGTTACAGGTTTACACACAGGGAGCGCAGGTGCGTGCTGATACTTGCGGGGAGCCAGCTTCCCCCAAGCACCAGCTCCCACATGCCCCCCATGGATCACATCCCTAGTTCATATTGATTTCTTTAAGTTTACAGTTAATTATGTTCAATCAAGCATGTTTATGCTACCAAGTAGTGAAATACATCTGTGCTGAAAAAAAGCTGTAAATAAAAAGAGCTGAAACCAAATAGCATAAAAGGACAGTTGATCATAAGAGTGAAATAAATAATCAGAAACTGCACTGCTTCATCAATATGGAACCAACACACCATACAAACGAAAGTTCCAGCAATGTCAAAAGAGAAGAACAGAACTAAAATATTTAAAGAGTTGTTCAACTGCTCGACAGTAGCAATTCTTGAAGTAACTTTACATTGTTAAAACAGGTGTAGAGAGCAGCAAGAATATATAGATGGACTTTGTAAAATTATATAAACTTTAAACTGGACATTTCAGCAACTAAGCGAGTGTTGATAGAGAGACTACATCTTGAGCACACAACAGTAAAACTGGCCAAGAGGCCTTGTAAAGAGGCCCAGAGGAAGGAACTTAGGGAGGTAAATAGCTGATCAGATCAAACCTGCCTGTGATCAAGGACCATCCCAAGATGATTATACCAAGATGTCTGGCTTAATTTGTCTTACATAAGCTGGTGTAACAGGATGAGTCCCTGCACTGGAAGGTTGGGGCAAGCTCAGCATGAAGATCCAGTAACATGGCTTTGTTCATAGTACTGTAACCACTGCTCATCATCCCAAATCTCCAGTACAATGCAATCCCATTTGTTATGGCATGCTTCTCGGGCCCAGAAGTGGCACTGCACTTTCAGCAGCTTTCTCACAAATATTACCACAACCTCAAATTAGTTCTCGCTATGCACACAGCAATCTGCCCTCCACCAAATCATTATGCTCCTTGATTATTTAGAATAGTGATAGAAATGTAGCCGTGTTACTCTGGTGTAGCTGAAACAAAAAACAGGACTACGTAGCACTTTAAAGACTAACAAGATGGCTTATTAGGTGATGAGCTTCGTGGGCAAGACCCACTTCCTCAGATCAAATAGTGGAAGAAAATTGTCACAACCATATATACCAAAGGATACAATTAAAAAAAATGAACACATATGAGAAGGACAAATCAAATTTCAGAACAGAAGGGGATTGGGGGAGGAGGTAAATGTCTGTGAGCTAATGATATTAGAGGTGATAATTGGGGAAGCTATCTTTGTAATGGGTAAGATAATTAATGTCTTTGTTTAAACTTAGGCGTAAAGTGTCGAATTTAAGCATGAATGACAGTTCAGAGGATTCTCTTTCAAGTGTGGTCTGAAAAGGTCTTTGAAGCAGGATGCAGGTAATGAAGTCGTTGAGACAATGTCCTTTCTGGTTGAAATGGCAAGAAACTGTTTTTTCTTTGTGACCCTGTCTAATTTTGTGATCCTGTCTGTTTTGCGGGCATTGATTCTTTGGCAAAATGTCTGAGACGTTTGTCCAATGTACATAGCAGACAGACACTTTCGGCACATGATATCATAAATTATATTTCTGGATGAGCAGGAATATGTGTTCTTGATCTTATAACTCACTTGGTTAGGTCCAATAATGGTATCTGCAGAGTGAATATGTGGACAAAGCTGGCAATGGGGTTTGTTGCAAGGGAAGGTTCCAGGGTTGGTATTAGTGTGGTATGTCCTGTGGTTGTTGATAAGAATCATCTTGAGGTTAGGTGGTTGTCTATAGGAGACTATGGGTCTGTCTCCCAGAGCTTCTTGGAATTTAGTATCCTGTTCCAGTATAGGCTGTAGTTTATTGATAATATGTTGGACAGGTTTAAGTTGGGGGCTGTAGGTGATGACAAGTGGTGTTCTATTGTTGGTTTTCTTGGGTCTGTCTTGAAGTAGATGGTTTCTAGGTCTTTGTGTGGCTCTTTCAATTTGCTTTTTTATTTCTCCGGGTGGGTGGTTGAGGTTTATAAATGCTTGGTAGAGATCCTGAAGTTTCTGGTCTCTGTCAGTGGGATTAGAGGAGATGTGGTTGTATCGAAGGGCTTGGCTATAGACGATGGATCGTATGGTGTGTTCTGGATGGGAGCTGGAGGCATGTAGGTAACTGTATGAGTCAGTGGGTTTTCTGTAGAGAGTGGCGTCTAATTACTTAGTTATTCTTGCAACTCTGCAAATACTGGAGGCTCGAATGTCCTCTGCTTAACAACAGTACAGGGCTATTCAGGCACCATCTTCCTGGCAATGATGGCAAGGCAGGCCATATGGGATTATGTGATTTTGAAATAATGATGGGCATATAGATGGAGACATTTTATGGGATGGAGACAGCTGCATACTGGGAATTTGACAGCTCGCTTCCTGTCACTTCTGTTCAATTTGCATTGTGTACTACCAAAGCTTCTCAAAAGATAGTAGGTTAGATGGTGGCGCTTTGAACACTGTGATACCTAGCCATGGTGCATTACACTGTGCTTCATTATCCAAACTCTTGGCGAGTTCCCACAGAGCCGATGCAAGGAGACAAATATGCACATGCACAAGAGACATATTAATTGCAGCAACCTAACACCTACAAAATCTGTAGTGCAGACATGTTCTTAGAAAATAGAATCAAGTCACCATTCCAAAATAATGATAACGGGTTATTTTTGTTATGCTTGTTTGATTAGATTATTAAAACATGAAATGTCACGTTGACCAATTTTCTAGTTTGTTAGCCAATTAGAAGTTAATACTAATTTTGTCTTTTTATATCTATGATGTATTAGATGTTGTTAAGGCAGCAACTCTAAAACTACATTTCACACTCAAGTTCTTTTCTTTAGTTAAGCAATAGAAATTCAAAGAACCCTAAGAAGGGTGTTACTGGTAATCAGTTAAGCAGTTGCTTAACTAAGGTTTATTTTATGACATCTCTCTCCTATTCCTGTCACTGATTCATGGTGTGAACTTCCAGAAGTCATTATTGATCTGTTTTTCAGAGATCCTGAACCTCCACTGACTTGAATGAAAGTTGTAGGTGCTGACAGTGACAGAACATAAGGCCATAAGGTACACAGGGTTTATTATGATGCATACCATGGGATGCATAAAACAGAACTTTTGGCATTCATTCTGATAGCTAAACAGTTTCTTACTTTAGCATTAAAAACATTAAGCCAGAAACACAGGCAAGTAGTTTTCACATTCCCTAATGAAAAGAACTACAAGGCACCGACATACCACTCAAGCAGCACTCACATTCTTTTCCTACAGCTTTGAATTAACTAGGAAACCAAGCATTTTACTTCAGTGAAGCATAAGAGAAAACGCACAAAGTTTGTAAAACTTTAAAGACTGAAATGTCAACCAAGTAAGAAACCAAACCATTTGGGGGTTGACAGTTCTTTGAGACTAACTTAAAATATGGCACTGTCATAAATATGGAATTAATTCTTTAGCACTCTGTGCTAAAGGTCAAATTACTGTCCAGATATATAAAACCTTTGCCTTTACATGGATTGCATGCACATGGATTTGGGCAGTCATGCATATAAGAAACTAAATCAGGAGCATTAGTGACAGCTGTTATTAAGGATGAACTACAACCCTCTTCTCCTTTTAAAAATTACTCCTAATTTTCTCATGCAAATCTATTTTTTTCTGAAATGTTTCATGCTTGGTCTCAGCACAGAGGGAAATATAGTGTATGGAAAACAAAAATCCCGGAAGTATCCCAAAATAGCTACCCTTCATCTTTTGAACACACCTGCTCTTTTGAGATAGTGTGTCTGCTATTTCAAGACCTATTTCAGCATCCCTGTAACCCTCATTCCACGGGTTAAGGGATTTCTAGAAATAGTACGTTATTTCGAAATTTGGCTCTGTGTAGATGTGCCAAATTTCAAAATATGCTATTTCAAAATTCAATCAAAATAAGACACAATTTGCATAGCGCAAATTGCATATCTTATTTAGAGTTTAACGTTCTGTGCAGACATACCCATTTTTAAAAAACAAAATATGCCACATACTTTCCCCCTTAAGTTCTAATGACATATGTTGTGCATAGACATCTAAAAAAAATGGCTGAACCAGTTTTGTTTGAATATCGTCCACTTTGCAGATCTTGTGGAGGTCTAAGAATTAGGCCAAAGCTGGAAAAAAGTAGTGAAAAAGTTTGAAGTTATAGTAATAGACTGCAGGAATTGCAATACTGAATCAGACCAGCAGTCCAGCACTTTGTGACCAGTAATAGATGCTTCTCTAGGGGAACTAATAAGCTACATATAAAGAATGTTTTTAATCCTATCATTTAATGAATGACTAATGCCCCTACTTAGAATCTTTTAAAAGTTCTCTCTAACATAACTGTTAATATCTGCTTAGATGTCTATTTAAAAAAAAAACCCTCTTATGCTTTTATTTGTTGGCACTGAATCTCCAGCACTACAGGAAAAATATTTCACATTATTAATTTTAAATTCTTTGCTTTTCAATTTAATTGAACACCATTGTTTTTGTGTTATGAGAAAAGGCAAATCAGAGCTACTGATTTATTTCTATGATCTGAAGAAGAGGTCTGTGGCGCTTGAAAGCTTTTCTCTTCCAGCAACAGAAGTTGGTCTAGCATTCTACACACCTTGCTTCTTTCAATATACCAATCATTATTCTCATTACATCTATCATGCCCCAATTTGTCATTTCTATCTCTGTATTAAACAATTCCAATGTGTGCACTTTCTCCACATACAGAAGTCTTCCTATGCCTCTAATCATGTTTTTGGCCCATCTCCTGACTCCTGTTTCTCCAATGTGCATTAGGGTGAGTATAAAAGAGATGGAAAAGGGTGAACAAATGATGAGCAGAAGAAAAATATCTTATTAACTTGTGTTTCCAATAGGACAAAACACTGATCACCTTGAAAGCAACCAAAATTATATTATATACCAAAAAAATACATTAAGAAAACATTATTTAAGTTTCAAAGTCAAGCTCTCAAAAGCTAGGAAATGCCAGAATTAAGGTTGACTGCACAACTTTCATTCAGTCCCCTTGTCTGTATGCATTATTTACACAGTGCTTAATTGAATGGTTGAACACTATTTTCCGTCCAGGATCCCAGCTTCATTCATAATGCAGGGTAGATGGTGCTCAATCAATGAGCTATTCCATTTTTGTTTTAGCTTCCATTGTCAAGGAATATTCAGAGAGTCTAGAACTTTTGAGTGTTACTTGGGCTCTTAGGAGCCTAAGGGTTTGTCAACATGACCCTGCAGTTTGAACCAATGAAGTGTGAACTGGAGCATACACTAGTGTGCTGTGCTATAATGGGCCTTTGTAGACCCTGTGGGATTGAACTAAAAGACACTTAGTTCACCCTATGTCATCCTGAAAACTTTGAGAATTAAACTAAACTGAATTAAGGCCAATTTAAACAAGAGTAAGAACATCCACACAGGGTTTAAAACAGTTTGACTAACCCACCTTAAACCCACACCCTTTGTTAATTTATATTAACCTTCCTGAGTTTCTCAGTGCTGACAAGCCTTAGGTTCTTCAACCCCTTTTGAAAATGGGACATAGGTGCTTTTCACTCTGAAACTATACAATATTTGCTTTGTCCTGAAACTCTTCTTGACTTTGAAAATATGAACTCAGATTCCATGAGTCAGCTCAAAGGTCAAGCCAACAATTATTGGTGGCAGAAAAACAATTTCAGTTTTGAAAGTGACCTGGACATACTGCCGTTCCTCTGACTTTGAAAAATTCGACCCAATGGAGTATTTGCTAGTAATTCTCTTCCCCTCCCAAATCATAGAAAGGATCAGACTTGTACAGTTGTCTTTTAATTCTCACTGCTCTCCTTCCTTGAAGTTTCCATAATTCCACCTTCACAGAGGAAGGCCAGTTCCTGTTGACTCGAACGCTGCACAAATGCTGATGCTGATGCTGATGCTTTCTATGCAGTACGTGTCTACAATATTTCCTCTCCATTTCTACTTGCTCTGCAATTGTCTATCAATGACCACTAGACATTAAATGACACAGCTACGGCAATGTTGGTTTGGGGGTGAAATAAGCTATTTTCTGCAAGCCATCGGTGTTCCCACTACTCTAGCCACTCGAGCAAGGGAAACAATAGATGTAGTGAAAAGTTCTCTAATGGAAAAATGAGAGATAAACAGCATTTCTTGCTAAAATCAATGTTTTTCTACAGGCTTATTTGGATCATTAGAAGCCACATATTTCACTGGTAAAGAACAGAAATACCTATTGTCAAACATAGAATAGCAATTAAACCCAGGGTTCTTCTGCTGAATTTCTACCCATCCAGTCTTCCTGTACGGATATTTGAATCAGCATAGGGTGTGGTGCTTTTCTTCAGCAGATATAAAACAACTTGCACCCTCCTAGAGTGTCCATCCGTTTGCATTTGGAGAGAAAGATGGTATCTGTTTGTACTTGTGCAAGTTTCTTCATGAGGTTGATAGATTTCTACTCCATACGGCTAAATGCAGTGCCTTGCATGGTGTTAAGTATCAGAGGGGTAGCCGTGTTAGTCTGAATCTGCAAAAGCGTGAGGAGTCTGACATGCATCTGACGAAGTGGGTCTTTGCCCATGAAAGCTTATGCTCCAACACTTCGGTTAGTCTATAAGGTGCCGCAGGACTCCTCGCCGCTTTTGCAGATTCAGACTAACACGGTTACCCCTCTGATACTTGCCTCCTGGAATGAGAACTAGAAACAAAAAACCCTAAATATGCCCTAAATATGCTCACTGCCATTCTCTGAGGTGGCACAGCTTCCATTTGGAAAACTGGGTCTGCATACAGCGTAAAACCACAGAGCTTCTACAACAAGAATTCTGGTCTTAAATATAATCCTCTTTTTTGCCTGCTCTGTTTAAGTAATGGAAGGAAAAATTTCATTTGCAATTCACAGTAATCAGCATTGGCGAAATCAACCACAAGCCTAATTATGATTGCTTTAATTCGCATAAGTAATCCCTTAAAATTCCTGTAACTAACTTCAACTGGACTATTTTATAAGTAAAGGAATCAAAATTTGGCCCTCAGAAAGCACTTCTTTACCATCCAAAATAGGTAAACAGAGGAATCCTTAGAAAAACTACATACAATCAATTATCTTGTTACCTTAGTCTTTTCTTTTCCTGTTATGGTGAATGATGCAGTCAAACTATGCTGTGTTTTGTTCTGGAAAAAGATATAGAAAAGTACCACAATATTATAAAACTATTAAAAACTGGCAGACTGTCCAGTTACTATACAAATGCTTCCATCACACACTACTCAGAAGAAAATGTTTCCATTAATTATTATGATCATTTATATCTACAAAAGTCTAATAGAAAAAATGCAATATATTTATCTATTGTTAACATGCAAGGAAGTAGCTGTTCTATGGGGCATACTCCCCTCCTAATTGAAAGGCCCCTCAGATGTTAACAGCACTGCTCATAGCACTAACTTCTATCTGCAAAATCTTCACAGGAATTAAGGTGACTCTAAAGGCAGCATAACTCCTAAAGGGACATCAGTAAAATCACAGAATCATGTGGTGAGAAGGGATCCCAAGGATCATCTAGACCAGTGGTCCCCAACGCGGTGCCCGCGGGGCCCCTAATCTTTGAACTGAGATCTCAACTTTCTTCTAAGTTTGTCAGTAACAAAATAAGTTTATAAAATGATATGGAAGTTATTTAGTGTAACCACTTTAGTGATGGCAGTCTAACGTGATTATAGTATTATCCCAGTGGTCCCCAACGCGGTGCTCGCAGGCGCCATGGCGCCCGCCGGGACATTTATGTGCGCCTGCTGAAACATCTGGGCTGGGCCCCCCCCGGCGCGCGGCACATGCATGGTGCCGGCTCCAGGCGCGGGACACATGGGCGGCCCCTCCCCTGGGCGTGCGGCACATGTGCAGGGCCGGCCCGGGGTGCGTTGCCGGCCCCTGCCCCAGGCGCGCGGCACATGCGCAGTGCTGACCCCGGGCGCATGGCTCGTGGGTGGCCCCGCCCCCGGATGCGCGGCGCATGCATGGCCCCGCCCCCGTGTGCCCAGCATGTGAGTGGCTCTGCCCCCAGGTGCCCGGCAGCCACACAACGTTGGGGACCACTGATCTAGACTCACCCCCTACTAAGATGCAGGATTTGTTGTGCCTAAATCAGTGATTCTCAAAGTGGGATGTGGACCCACTTTGAGAAAGCTGCTAATGGGCTGCTCCAGTTTGTTTATTTAATGGCTCTGCAGCCATGGAGCCTTGCAGCTCTCATTGGCTCTAATTCGCTGTTTCCAGCCAAGGAGAACCACGGGAATAGATCCCTGTTGAATCTCACTTGAGACTTCCTTCCAATCGGCCATAGTTCCATTAATAGTTAGTCTTTGTTACGGTTATTTAGCCAATTACATACCCACCTATAGGTAGTTTCACTGAATATGCATTTATCCAGCTTACTTATGAGAATGTCATGTGGGACTGTGCCAAAAGCCTAAGTCCAAGTACATTATGTCCATCACATTGCCCCATCCACCAAACTAGTTCGCCTGTCAAACAAGGAAATCAATCTAGTTTGCCATGACTTGTTCTTAGCAAATCCATGCTAGCTGCTAGTGATAATCCCTTTACCCGCTAGATCAGGGATCTCAAAACAAAGTCTGTGGGCCATCCCTGGCCAGAGCAGTTGTGCAATCTGGCCCCAGCGGGCTGGGGTGAGGTGGGCTGTCTATTCCTGTTACCCAAACCTTACTCCTTCCCACTATTGCCCCACTCTCTTTTCCCCCATGGCACTTCATCCCACAAGGTACACAGCCTCAGGGATTACCGGGGGGGGGGGGGGGGAGGGGGGGGGGGGGGGGCGCCCCCCCCCGCCGCCACCGCACCCGCGGAGCTGCCACTCCACACCAGGCCTCCCTGGTAATCCCCAAGGCTGAGTCCCTCAGGGAACAGGGTACAATGGGAGAGAGAGAATGGGGGAGGAAGGGAGCAAGGTCTGGGGGACAGGATCAGACAGCACCCCTCCTCCCCACATCTAGCTTGCCAGGATTTCAGAGTCAGATTGTGCAACTGCACCAAGTGGGGATGGCCCATGGGATGGGAGTTTGAGACTTCTGGTCTAAATACTCACGTACTGAACATTTTATACATTGATCTAGCAGCTTTCAAGTATTAAGGTTATCCTGATTGGTCTATCATTTCCTGATTCATTTTTCCCTTTTAAAAGATGGCGCTATGTTTGCTCCTCTCCAGTTTTCCAGAACCTCTCCTGCCATCCATGAGTTTGTAAACATTGCCAGAGGCACTAAGATTTCTTCAGGCAATTCCTTCACTGTGAAGCTCTGCCTTCCTATGATCTTTTGTTACCAGCTCACCTCTATTGAGCCACATCTTTCTATTTTGTCTGACATACTTGAAGAACCTCTTCTTGGTGACACTAACATTTCTTGCCTGTAGTAATTCATTCTTTGCTTTGGCTGCCCTGATTTTGCCCCTACATGCTTGCTCTATTCCCATTTACGCTTTCTTGGTGATATGCCCTTCTTTCAATTTCCCGTGTGTCCCCTTTTTGGAATTTAGATGCTAAAATGCTCCTTATGCAGCCACATTGGCCTCCTGTGGTTCCTCTTATTTTTTCTCTCTATTGCAGTGCTTACCGATTTTATTTGGCCGAGGAACCCTTTTCAGAATTTCAAGGAACTCCTAGGTTTGTCAAGCCAAAAAAAAAAAAAAAAAAAGGAGGGGGGGGGAGGAATCCATCAATTCATGACAATCCCCACAAATGCATGAAAATCACATTCCTTCCCCAAGACCCTCCCACCCCCTTCCTTGAGGCCTCATCCGCTCTGTTCGCCTCCTCTCCATCACTTGCTATCCCCAGCCCTTATATGCTCTCACTAGGTTTGGACAGGATGTGTGGGGTGGGAATGAGGGATTTGGGTGTGGGAAGGGGTGAAAGTACAAGGTCTGGGAGGGAATTTGGATGCAGGAGAAGGGGATGTTGGCTCGGGGAGAGAGCTCTAGGCTTGGGAGTGTTGGGCTCAGGTAGAAGGTTGGGGTGCTGAGCAAGCCATGGCCTTGTGGATGTGAGGGTGCTGGAGTTTGGGCTGGATATGTGAGGGACTCAGGGCAAGAAGACTGTGAGTATGATGGGCTCAGGACACAGATTTGTGATGTGTGGACGGTGCAGGAGTGTTGTAGCGGAAGACTGAGGATGTGGGGATACAGGAGTGTGGGGATATAAGAGGCTCAGGACGGGGGTTCCAGTGTATGATAGGCTCAGATTTGGGGTCAGGTGGTGCACGAGTGTTATGATGCTGCAGTGAGATGGAGGTTTGGCCCCAATTGGGGGCTTGTTGGCCAGGCTTCATTTTTAAACAAAATATTATGTCAAACTGAAAAAGTTTTAGCATTGTCTCTATTTACGAGAGGGGTGAGGAACCTGTTTTGAGTCAAGGGTCACTGACCCACAGAAAAGTCATCCCTGTTGCGCTGCTGCTGGTGGTGGGGGCGGCAGTTACCCTCCTTCCCCCTCAGGCCTTTGTAAATTGCTCCAGGAAAGCAGCAGGTGTTGGGAGATGCAGGAGACTGGCAGGCAGGGCTGGGGAATGCAATGGGGAGCATGCGGGAGCAGTAGGTGGGGAGTAGAGACTGCACCCTGCACACAATCCCCAAACCCCATTCCTCTGTCCCAGCCCAGGCAACTAAACACCCTCCCCCCGCAGAGTCTTAGCCACATGGGAAGGGGGAATGAGTTTGAATAGGAAAGGGGTGCAGGCTCTGGGCATTCTGAGCACCACAAAAATTTCTGCAGCTATGCCACCCCTACACACACAGCTATTATCTGCATACCCACTTTGAGAAAATGGTAAAATAGCACGTTTGCAAACATTACAATAATGCATTTGAAATTCCCAATTCTAACAAGAAATCTTGCTCATTTTTCTCCGTAATGTATTTATGGATTGACTCCTGTTCACTGTAAATAAGGAAATGTGAGCCAAGAATCTCTCAATGCCAACTGGTAAGGGGGTGCAGTGTGACTACAGTACTCTTCTGAGTCTGATATGTACTTTCTAATTCAAAGAATGTCACTCAGGGTCTCAAAGGAAAGCCAGTGTTGCTCTAATAGCACTGTGAAATCTATGTACAAGCACTGTATAAGGAGTCAGTACAGGTTGGACCTCCCTGGTCCGGCATCCTCTGGACCGGATTGGTCCCAGATGAGGGATTTTTCCAGACCAGGGGAGGTCATTTCAGGCCCCCTGCTGCCTGCCTTCCCCCTACAGGCTTCCTAGCTCCCCCTGCAGCCCAGCTGAGCCATGCGCTGGCTCCCCCACCCCTCACCCCAAAGCCCAACTGAGCCAAAGGCTGGCTCCCAGGCCCTGACCTCCCTGCAGCATGCTGGGACACTGATCCTGGAACATCTGAGGTCACGCCTGACCACGGATGTTGCTGGACCAGAGAATCCCGGATTTTAGAGATGCAACCTGTACATATAATTAGAATATATCCCCAACCTCTATATGAAGGTTCTGATCACCAGCAAAGGTGCCCGATTCCCTGCCCTTCCCTCCCCTTTAGTCTAGCCCCGGTTCCCGGCACCTCCCTCCTCCTGCAGACAAACTAAGCTCTGAGCTCCACACACACACACCCTCACATGCCCAGCCCAGTCCAGCTCCCCGGACCTCCCCACTCTGCTCAGTTTCCCTGCATCTTCCCCCAAACCATGCAGACATGCTGAGCCAGCGCTGATTCCCTGCCCCTACCTCCCTCCCTCCCTTGGCTGTGTCTACACTGGCGTGATCTTGCGCCAAAGTGGCTGCTTTTGCGCAAAAACTTGCTTCCTGTCTACACTGGCCATGTGTTCTTGTGCAAGTACGCTGACATTCTCATGTATGAAATCAGGGCTTCTTGCGCATGAACTATGACACTCCTGCTCAGGAATAAGCCCTTTTGTGCAACTGTTCTTGCGCAAGAGGCCAGTGTAGACAGGCAACATGAATTTCTTGCGCAAGAAAGCCCAATGGCTAAAATGGCCAACGGCATTTTCTCGGGCAAGAGAGCGTCCACACTGCCATATATGCTCTTGTGAAAAAGCACAGCTCGCACATGGCAGTGTGGACGTATTCTTGCACAAGAATTCTTGCGCAAAGTGTTCTTGTGCAAGAAACCACCAGTGTAGACATAGCCTAAGAGTTTCCTCGCATGAGCAAAATGAATTTTGTGTTGTGCACCAGTACTGAGTTCATGTGGCTTGTTTGGATGTGGCACTGTGGCACCCAAGTTATTAATAAATATTTTTAAACCTTTCCCTTCTCTCTGCTGCCATGTCTCCTCCCCTTGCTCCATCAGCTCCCCTGGTGCCTGCTGCCCCCCAACTCTCTGCTGCCATGTCTCCTCCCCTTGCTCCATCAGCTCCCCTGGTGCCTGCTGCCTCCCAACGCCTCACCCTCCTCTGCTGTCCTGACTCCTGCCCTTCTCACTGCCCTCAGCCCTCCTGCAACTTATCCCCCCTCCACCAGCCCTTCTCTCCTCCCTGTGCCCACTCCTCCTGTAGCCCCACTCTGATCATGTGAGCTACCCTTCCTCATCCCCTCTCCTAAAACCTCCCTCTACACACCTGCCCCATCTCTCTCCTCTGGTGCTGGTCCCTCCCCTGCAGATGTCTTCCTTTCTGCTTCACCACCAGAATCCCCTGGCACTTGCACCTTCTCTTACTCCTGCACCCTCCTGTTGCCTCCCCCTTTCCTCACTGCCCCTACCTCCTTTGCCCTCTTTTTCCCTGATGCCCACCCCATCACCACCCTCTGCCCCCGTTCGCCTCATGTCCCTGTGCCCTCACACATGACTTGCTCCATCCTGGCCTTCCTCATGCCCACCCTTTCTTTCCAGCCTTCTCCCAGCACCTCCCCCTCCAGCCCCCAATGCCCTTACCCTCTCCTCTCTCCCATCATCACCCTGTCCCCCTCCCACAGACACCTCCCCTCCTGCCTTTTTCCTCATTGTCTGCACTTGGCCCCTGGCATTTGTCTCTTCTCTACCCTGTCCCTTTGGTGCCTTCCCCTCTCTTCCCCCTCTCTGCTCCCCCTCCACACAAACCCTTTCCTCTCCCAGCCCTTCTCCTTCCCCTACCTTCTGCCATCTACTTTGTGGGGCTGGAGTCTACGCTCCGTCCCCGGACTCTGAACCCGCAACTCAGCCACACGGCACAACGCAGTGCCCAGCAGTTTTAAAATCCTGGGTCGTGGCGTTACGTCACGCCTGGGCGTCTCCCCGCCTACCGGTTTAAGCATGCCGTGCAGGGCAGCAGCAGCCGCCATCAAGGGGGAGCTCAGTGAAGGTTGTGCACGGCAGGGACGGGACAGGATGGGGACGAAGACGGGGGAGACGCTCTGGGACTGGGGTGGGAGGACACGTGGGGGGGCTGGGGCCCGTTCCAGTTCCAAATATTGGTGGAGCATGGGCACCACAAGCCCATACAACTCGCTGCCCATGCCTCTGCTGGCTAGCCGGTTCTTTATCTTTCAGAGGGGGCGCGGAAGTGCCAGCTCCTCGCGGAACCCCTAGTTTTGCTTCACTGAACCCCAGGGTTCCCCGAAGCACCAATTGGGAAACACTGCTCTATTGGAATAACTTGATGATGAGCCTCTACTGTTAGATCTTTTTAGGAACTGCCTGTCTGCATTGAATACTTTTCTTCCTAATTTATGTAGTTCAGGGGTACTCAACCTTTTTCTTTCTGAGTCCTCTCCAACATGCCAGAGGCCTATATCTTGCCCCAGAGCAATTCACAAACCAGACCATAATAGGCATTTTGCCACTTGAGTTGTGTGTGGGTCTCAATCCAGTAGGCACCCTTTAAGCACACCTACCAGATCAGGCCCCTCAGCTGAGTTCACAAAAAACAAGAGTGGAGTGGGGCTGGGTTAGGGGGAATTCAAAAGAGAAGTTACTCCCTCATAACTCACCTAAAAGGTGACAAAATCCTGTTCAAATCCCTTCTCTCCCTCAGGTAGTGGAGAGGCTTTGAATTGTGGGTCTCGCACATCTCAGGTGAGAGCCCCTAATCACTGGACTATGCCACCCTCTCCCACTCCCCACCTCCAGATACATAGGTACCGAACTCCAGGAGAAGGTTCACAGTTAAGAATTGCTGATAGAGATCAGCACCTTCCTGCAACCCAGACTTAGGTGCCTACTTCTCTCAGAGTGCTGAGGCTTAGAGCACAAGCCCCTTGTATCTCCCATTGCCTCGCTTAGGTAGCACCTGACCCAGCATACTGGTATTTGTGGATTGCTGCCTACACTGCTTTTGTCTCCTTATTCATTGTGTAGGGAGCATGGGCACCTAACTCAGGCTTTGTGAATCACAGTGATTTTGTGGGTGCTGTGATCTAATGCATCACGATACCTCACTCCTTTCATGCATGCAAGCCTTAGGAAAATGCTCACAGACAGCTCATTTTCAGATCAGAAAAAATGTGCATTATCAAATCAGTTTAGTCATCTGTCTATTCTCTGACAGGGGATAGTACTAGATGTTTCAGAGCAAGGTGCAAAAGAAATCATAAAAGGCAATATTGCAAAAGCCTGTTCATAGGGAAAATTATTTCCTAACCCCATCAATTAATGGTTGACGTTTCAACTATGGATGTTCCAATTAGTGATATATTGAATGAAGAGAGTCATTTAAAGAATGTAGTCATAAATTATTGTTCTTAAGACCATCAGTCAGTCTTCACATAAAGGGGATTTTAGTATACAGCAGCATTTGCCTACATATGTATAAAGACAGCATGAAAAGAACACCCACAATAAGGAAACCAAAATCACAGGGTAAACCTGTGACCATATTATAAAGTTCAAGGAAATTACATTCCCAGTAGCATATGGCACAACTTTCAACTCCTAGGAGATGACAAGGAGTTCAAGTGAGAACATTCACAAATTCAAGTTACATTATAACAATACATGGATAAAAATGATTTTTTCCCCTCAGAATGCAGAGATAAAATGGAGAGAGACCCTGAATGTAGGGAGAAAATTATAGGCTCTCACAGAAATAACAGACCTCTAATTTCTTTCAACTTTTGAACCTGAGAGGCCCAGTGCCAAAAGTCCCTCCCATCATAAGTGTATAATACTCATGTATCTACAAATTCATCACAGTCACTCAGGGTATGTCTACACTACCCTCCTAATTCGAACTAGGAGGGTAATGTAGGCATACCGCACTTGCAAATGAAGCCCGGGATTTGAACCACTGCACGGGGTTCGAACCAGCGGGGTTTTAAAAATGGCGGCTCCCCGCTTATGCAAATGAAGCCCGGGAAATTCAAATCCCGGGCTTCATTTGCAAGTGCGGTATGCCTACATTACCCTCCTAGTTCGAATTAGGAGGGTAGTGTAGACATACCCGAAGTGAGTGAAGGGATAGAAATATACAAGACCAGCTGTGTTTGAATGTGCTCCATTCCCCAATGCAACTAAACAGTGTGGTGGAACAGTGTGTTAATGTACATCAAGATTTCACAGGAATCCTGAAAAGTGGTCGCTAGGAAACTTTCCTAGATGCACTCCCCAATCCTGTACTAGAGATCCTTAGCAGAGCTGTATAAAAGCATATATCACTAAGTGCCAACAAGAACAGGTTCCATTATTCCCATATTGTTTGTACATAAATTATAAAGAATAAAATAAAATGGAAAATAAAATACCGGTAATGAAGTGCTGAAGGTCAGTTTAACTGGCAGTGTTAAGACTTGGCCATCCCAGATTTCTTTTGCAGCAAGAAAAGCAACATAGTTGATTGAGTAGTATTCTCCAACTGTTACAAGAGAGAAAACAATGTATAAACTAAATGTAGATGATTGTATCACAACTACCAGAGTAACATGACCTCTGAGGAGTCATGTCTTAATGTTCTTTATTAAATTGGTAAATACAAAAAGATGGAGTAGAACTCATTATGCTCTAGTTACACATCCTTGGCATTTTTTAATGTGCTTGATTTTCTGAAGTGTTGACCTGCCCTAGACGACAAGAGGAGCAGCAGGGGCTCAGCACTTCTGAAATTCAGGCTTAATATAAATAAAGTATCGCAATAACATTTTAGGTTCCATTTGTAGACTCCAAACTGTGAGTCCACTACCCCTTAGAACATGGATGCCACGGCACAAGCGACTTGCAATCCTCAGTACCATAAGGCACAATCTTTGTGCCAATCACTGGAGATCAGTATAGGACTGACATATCAATGAATAAGAGGCACAACAAATACGCTTTGTTCTTGTTATGCCATCCTAGTGTAAATTTCTTCATAATGACTGACATAGCTTCCATTGGCATGGAAAGTAAAATTAGCTTCCAGCTTTAACAGAACTGTTCCAGATGAGACAATTGTTCCAGCTTTGTTTGCCAATTTAATACTGCAAGTCAAGTTTCTTTTTTCAGGGGTAATTCTTTCTAGAGCATCTCTGTGTTGAAAGCCAGTAACTTGATGCCAACAATTTCAATACCCAACTCCACAAATTCTCCCACCAACCAGGCCTCCGTTATCAGAAATGAGCTCTAATTACAAACCCCCTACCATGCAAAAGCACCATGTAGATTAATTTTACTTTCCCATTTGGAAAGTATTTGATTTTTAGCTCTGAAATCATTTCTTATTTATTTTTAAAACGTAATCATAATTTAACAGCTCTGAAGATGTACTTCAAATAAAGATGTAAAATCCCATTTCTAAGTTAACTGGTTAAACGTTATGTTTAACCTGTTAACCAGGATCCCGCTGCGCAGGAGGTGCAGTCAGGCTGGAACAGCTTGCCATCCATGGCGCAGCACATTGGGCCTAGCCAGGATGGAGTAACCCCGCACCTGCATCAGACCTGCTGTGCTGCAGGCAGCTCTGGCCAGGCTAGACAGAACCCACCACGCTGAGGGCAGGGGCTGCTCAGACAGGGCTGGGCCTGCGACACTGTGCTGTGGGTTGGGGGACTGCTCCAGCTGGTCCTGCCTCACAGCCGGTGGGAGGCTGCTCCAGCCCAGTTGGGCTGGAGTGCCCCATATCCGCAGTGGGGGAAGGGGATATCTACTGGGAATCAGAAAGAGGAGATTTCCTGTAGGAGGACAGGGCTCCACATCCAGTTTAAAGTAGGGGTAGAAACCAACACTAGAGAGGTCTTAAATTTTGTTTTCATTTATAGTTACAAAGGGGGTGTGTGTGTGTGTGTGTGTGTGTGTGTGTGTGTGTGTGTGTGTGTGTGTGTGTGTGTGTGTGTGTGTGTGTGTGTGT